AAAAATGAAATACAATCATCTTGTGCAAATTAAACAAAACAAAACTTTAATTCTGCTCAAAAGTTCATTTCAATGAGAAGGTTGTTGTTGTTTGGCTTGAATATAAATGTTAAATTTGTATCTGACCTTCACGGACCCCCTGAAGTGATAACCGTGGTAACATTATGAGATGTACTTATTACTACCATGCTATTGTACTATTCCAGATGATACTAAATGTTACATAATACTGCCTTGAGATAATGTATAGTATATATCAGGTGCCTCAAAGAGAGCTCAGGTTCTCAACTGGCTCAGCCATGTTAATATTGTTATTATTATCCACTCTGTATCTGTATTTTTCTGGCTAAATAAACTGTTACAATTCAATTCAATTCCATGGACCCCAGGTTAAGAACCCCTGCTATAGAGCCTCTTGATATGGTCGCACATGAGTTAAGTTACCCTAGTATAATGGTTTGTTTGGCAGCCCCCTGTTTCCTCACACTTTACCCTTGCGGTGGAGTGTGGAAACGGTTTATATATTTTCTCAGGAGTTAGTCTACGTCTAGCTAATTTTTCGTTAATATACGTATAAACACGATAAATTCTCAATGCGATCTTATATATATATATATATATATATATATATATATATATATATATATATATATATATATATATATATATATATATATATATATATATATATATATATATATATATATATATATATATATATATATATATATATATATGTAACCGGTCGGAATTTGCTGGACTTTAATTTCTCACTTGACTTGGGGTTTATTAAAAATTAATAGATGGTAATGGCAGTGGAAGCGCCCCTTTGAGAAAAATCCCGAACCAGCACAAGAACACTTAAATCTACTACACAAAATGAATTGTCCGTGACCCGTGGAAGGATAGCGTCTGTGACTGGGATGAATGAGACACACTGTAAAATTTAGACACTTATATTCCCTCCAACACTACAAACACAATCAAATAATGGTACACCAATATGCGCACCTCTTAACTTAAACTTAAAACACTACTCTGGGGAATAAAAGTTATAAATGACATAGAAATTATTAGAAACACAGGCAACAATAAATTTGAAGTATTAAGAAATGTTAATTGCACACATGAACAGGCCTTAAGGGCTTTCACAAAATAATATCAGTCACTTAGGAAATGGTACTAAAAAATAAGAAATTAAATACTCCACAATGAATAGGCCTTAAGGGTTTTCAACAAAATAATATCAGTCACTGAGGAATGGTAATAAAATATAAGAAATTAAATACTCTACAATGAATAGGCCTTAAGGGCTTTCAACAAAATAATATCAGTCACCGAGGAACTGGTAATAAAAATTAAGAAATTAAATACTCTACAATGAATAGGCCTTAAGGGCTCTCAACAAAATAATACCAGGCACTGAGGAAATGGTAATAAAAAATAAGAAATTAAATACTCTACAATGAATAGGCCTTAAGGGCACTCAACAAAATTATAGCACCCCAACAGATGCACACTTCCTAACCTAACTTAACCACTACTCTGGGGAACAAGGTTATACTTGAGATCAGAATTATGAAGAACAATCAGATGCATTAAAAGAATCAAATCACAGTATCACTCTGGTTCCACTTAATGACACAAACATTCAAAAAAACACTACTATCAAAATTATTTAAGAAATATTAAACTACACACGTCAAGATAATATCAGTCTGAGGAGTGGTGTTAACTACACCCGTAATAAGGAAGATAAAATGTTCCTCTAGGTATCTCCTAGAGTCCTAGACTCACGGTCTCAGTGTGTGACCATTAATATGCTCAGATAGCCTCAGTGTACTCCCAGTGCGTCCATGGGCAGGAAGAGAGTGAGCCAATCAGACCTTGTGCAGTTGAGAGGAGCTTTAGCTTCCCGTTAGCTTAGTGAAACCCTCTTGCTAGATTCCCTCAAGAGATCCTTTGGTACCCCGCTAAAACAGTGACAGGCCTACTCTGATCGGTCCAATGGCGACAAACGCCACCCTCAATCATCAACGGCAGTCTCAAACGGCAGTCAATCTCTCGCAGTCAAACTCCGGTCAACTCCGGTCAACTCCAGTCAAGTGGGTTCTGACGGAAACCCTGAAATGAACTCACTGTTAGCTCTAGTTTACTTTACCACTGCCCTATCTAACCCTGTCTGAGATCGAATGAGACTTACTTGTTATACTGCAATAGCGCAGCACAGGTGACTAGGCCACGTGACTATTTCTGTGACAGACGCGCAGGGACGTCTTGTTTTGTATGAATCCTCCCTGCGACTGAGAGAGAGGCAGCGTCGCGTCTCCTCAAGGCGTTAGCTTAGGTCTACGTGACATATTTTCCGCCTAACTAATAACTCCGTGGGACACCCGTAACATTATTCAGACTGCTAAACGATCTATAATAATTTCAAATTCAATAATAGTCCCTTAACTTCATGAATCGCATCATTATTAATTCGGTAAATTACATTTAATATCATATAGGCCTAGTTCCGCAGTCTCTCGCTACGAGCAGGCAGCGCTCCCTCCCCTCAGATGACCTTGAACGCTCAGTATCACTCATGGCGGGGCATTTGAAATTACTCTGAAATTTCTGAATATTACATATATATATATATATATATATATATATATATATATATATATATATATATATATATATATATATATATATATATATATATATATATATATATATATATATATATATATATATATATATATATATATATATACACTCAGCAGTGAAATAGTTGCAAGTGTAAAGTTAGGTTTAAACGTGCATAATTATGATTAATATTATTATAAAGTACAGTGCATTCACAGCTACCTGTATCAGATGTCAACAAGAAGGTATGTGTGTATGTCGAAAGACAGAATTATATGCAACATTTTCATACTTTATCATATACGACCTAAAGTATATAATAATGTTATTAAACTGATAAAGGAGCAATATCAATCTCAAATTAAGATTCCATCCCAGTATACTGTAGTGGACGTCTCCCCTACAACTGCGTATCCGCATTCCAATGCGACAGTATCCTAGCAACCAAACGAGCGGCCCAGGGGCAGGCGTCACCAGATGAGACAGTATCCTAGCAACCAAACGAGCGGCCCAGGGGGGGACGTCACCAGATGCCACAGTATCCTAGCAACCAGCCACCTGCTACGTCTTCCCTAGCAACGGAGTCGAGAAACCGGCGGGTTTACTTCCGGCTGCTGTGTATATAAGCTCTGTCTCTCCATTAAGATTCATTCTGGCCTCGGTTCCTGAACACGCAACACCTTCTCCTCCGCCGCTGCCTGGCGGCCCTCGCTTTTCCTCCGCCTGCCTGACGGTCCTCGCTCCCGCCGGCGAGCATGGCGACCCACCAGCTGTCCTTCTCTGAGCGTCCTCACCAACCAGCTCTCTTATTCTACTCTACGTTCCTGAACACGCAACACCTCCTCCAAGCAAGCTCCTCGCTGTCCAGCTCTCATTCAACCTGGAGGCCAACAACAGGCAACATCTCCTCTAACGAAGCTCCTGCACATCTACCTCCTTCAGCACGCTACTCACCGAACGTGTCTACTGAACAGCTCCTCACCAAACGGCATCTCCAGCACCAGACTGTCTTCCATATAACTTATATTATATAAGAAAACCACCACCTTAGAGTTTCCATCCATCCATCCTGAGTGCTAGACAACATAATATCACGAAACCCTACAATACCTTCAATAATTGAAATTAGTCCCAAGAGCCACGTTGTAAGTTATGATATGGCTGCTTCGTCATTTGAAATTTGTTTAGGGATTCTTAAAAAAAGAAATAAAAAAATCGAAGAATCTGCATTGTGTTTGCACATGGTGATTACTTTATGCATCTACAGACGGTCTTTATCTGTACAGTTTCCACTCTCTCTTTGGCCATTGTCTTTATAGGAGCTTAAGTAGGCTTTTGGGGGTGCTGCCGCCGAGTATACTATACAGAGCTCACCTCCTACCCTAAGGGTCGCTGGTTTGCGTCCATTGTACCCTCAGTTATCAATGGGCACCTAAATCTACAGTTGGGGAAGTGACAACGGTCAAGTCCGGTAACAGCCATGTTGCTTAATCTACATACTGCTGTATCCCAACTGCGACCCGCACTTTCATTTGGATGTGAGCCAATTAACCGTATTCGCCTATCTCCAGTTTGAGTATAAAAACATTATTCCATATCAACGGTGATAATTTTAGTTATAATCCTGTCATGAAGCAGAAACTAGCTTGGTTGACCTCCACGTATCACCTCGTGACGTCAACAAATGTGTTTTCTTTAACAAGCTAAGCGAAAAACTTACAAGGTTCCTGTCCGCCAACCAACTCTGCTGTACACACAAACACAACCAATGGAAGGATGTTTTCTCGATCATAAAGATGTTTTGTAAGTAGTTAATCAACACAGCTTCTATCATACAGAAAAAAAGTTTTGTTTAATATTTTATAAAGAAAATCATGTCGATTTAAAAATACTTTAACTCTGTTCGCATTGCGGGAATCAAAAATTGTAAGATGTTATCTGAAGAAAGGTTTATACTTTAGCAAAAAATATAATCGCGATATTCCTTTACTATCTGGTGAAAATTACATTGAACGTTGTTCTATTGATTTTGAAAAAGGAGGGGGTTGATCACCCTAAAGTCACCCTTTGAAACAGTTCGTTTTTTATCTATTTGATTCAAATTTCAGTACAAGTATTATAATTCGTGAGCCTGGAGCCTTGCGCCTCACCCCCTTTTGTTTGGATAAACTAATTTTTCGTAGTTGTCGAAAAAAACAAACGTAATTGCAATCAATTAATTTTCAAAGTAATTGATTACAATGAATTACCTACATTTATTTATTGTAACTAAGCACATTCAAAGTGATTGTAATCAATTAAAATTTCATTGTATAATTGTTCCACGCCGGCATATACCATATACATGTATTGTGGTTGTGTTGCAGCGATGGAGGTATGTGAGGTGCGGATGAGGTCCGTGGTGGGGGTGTTGCTGGGTCTGCCATGGGCTCTGGGCATGATGGTCTGGGGTGCCCTAGCCTATCTTATCCGTGACTGGCGATGGCTGCAGTTTACTGCCTCCCTGCCCTTGTTACTGATCATGGGCCTCCTTTTGTGAGTATTACCTGTCCATACTGCTGTACTGACGAGTGATAGCTTTGTTCTAGTGAGTACTTCCTCCTGGTGCTAGGAGTGCATGACTTCCCTCAGTCTAACTCGAGAGAGGTCTTTTAAGTATATGCGTTTCAAGTATGAATCTACAGTAGTTAATAACTTCTTTTCAATCACTTTGAACCCTATCATTAAGATTCAAGGAGTAAACAGCAACAGTGTCTTGAGGGACTGATGACAAATCCTGCAGTTTTCATCTGTTAATATTTTGTTAACTGTGTTATGAATATTTTTTTTTCGATTATTTCATTATCCCAACTGTCTGTCTTATGTCTCTCTTCTTCAGTCTAATAGACGAGTCACCACGGTGGCTGATCGTGAAAGGGAAGCACGAGCAGGCGCTGAAGGTTTTGAGGAGGGTCGCCAGGCTCAATAAGTCCACCCTGCCTCCCGAAGAAGAGCTACGTCTCATGATGAGTGACATCCAGGCCGAGGTACCCTCAGCAGTTATGCTTTCATCATATACAACATTTCCATGACATGTTTTATTTCCATTTTGTTTGGGTTCCAAAATTCTCTCTGATGTTCTTTTAAATTTTTCGTTTTCATCTTTTTTTAATGAGGATTTGTTTTCTTAGCGATAGTTAGATCTTAGCTGAGGCAGCACTCGCTTCAGACAGTGTTGTCTACTTTAACAGGCTGAGATGTCCAAGAGGGTTTCTCGGGGGAAGGATAAGGAGGCGCTTGGCAAAAAGAAGAAGCGGTGCTCCATTAAAACACCAGCTCTTTTAAGGTGCAACAAAATTCCAGTTAATAAAGAAAATAATGACATATTCTTAAATTACCAATAATATAACACGAATTGACTACTTCTTGTAATTTAGATCATAATCAGTAACCAAATGATATGTCTTATAGTATAGCTCAAGGATCCATCGTTTATTCGTGATTAATTCCAAAACATTTTCTGATACTTTTGATTATGTTCTCTGAACGAAATAAACTACAGGTATTTCCTAAATTGGTGATTCTGTCCGTGTCCGGTGGTTGTGGTAGTTTTGTCTCATGATCGGAGAAATTCCTTCATACTAAACATTTCATTCTTTTACGACGATACATATCACTTGTCAGCATATTTACTTGTCACATATTTTTTTCTCATAAAATAAAAAAATTAAATTTCATAAGTATGAGACTTTCAGTAAAATTTAAAAAAAAATACAGAAGAGGTCTAACATTATGTCTGTAGGAATAGAGAATACCACACTAGGTTACTCATAAAACTATTGGCATTTGTCTACTCTCGCCAACCAGTTGCCACGACCAATAAATCTATAATGACAGACGGTTGATTCTTGCTTTTGCACTTGTGGTCAACTGTTGCTCTCATGATTATTACCACCAATTTAATTAAAGGTGTGTGACTAATTCCTGTCTACTCCACAGTACTTCGAACATCAGACTCATCATGAGCGTACTTAGCCTGAACTTCTTCACATGCAACCTGGTGTATTCTGGCCTCAGTCTTAGCGGGAACATTTACAGCTCTAACCCATTTATTTATGTCGTTATTGGTGGGCTAATGGAGGTACCTGGATACACCCTCACCTCCCCCATAATCGCCCGCTGGGGTAGAAAAATGCCCATCATGATTGGCTTGTACATTTGTGGGGCTGCCCTTCTCTCTCTCGCATTTATACCTTCAGGTAAAGAGCATACTCGTTCATTATTATATTTGTTTATTAATTTAATATAACCGTAACGTTAGGATATACTAGAAGTTTATCTATAACTCCTATACTCTGGAAATCACATAAAATGTCACTCCTTAAAGTTGTTCGACTAGCTTAACTTGCATCACAGAACATTGGCTAACTTTCCCTCTATAAAGATAACCTGGTTGCCCTGTCTTCTATCAACCTGACCTGCCCTCTATCAACACAACCCGGACTGACCTGCCCTCTATCAACCCGGACTGACCTGCCCTCTATCAACACAACCCGGACTGACCTGCCCTCTATCAACACAACCCGGACTGACCTGCCCTCTATCAACACAACCCGGACTGACCTGCCCTCTATCAACACAACCCGGACTGACCTGCCCTCTATCAACACAACCCGGACTGACCTGCTCTCTATCAAGACAACTTTTGCGGACCTGCACTCTATCCACTTGCCCATCTTTCTCACAATCTTTACTCATTCTGCCTTTCTCAAGCCCCTGATAGAATGATCTCGTCATCAGATATCTCGTGGCTTGTGATGACGCTAGCCATGATTGGCAAACTGGCCATCAGTGGAGTCTTTATGATCGTCACAGTGTACGAAACGGAGCTGCTACCCACGGAAGTTCGTCTCCAGGGTGCCTCGGTGAACTGCATGGTGGGACAGTTAGCAGCCACCATTTCTCCCTACGTTATCGATGTCCTGGTAAGTTCTACATCTTCTGTATTACTTCAGGGGGATATCATGTGCTAAGGATGTTTCCTTGGAGGTGTATTTACTATGCAGTGTGCTGTATCTACACTAACATTCCTCTAGGAACCATTTTTACGTCTAAGGCTCTTACCTGATGATTCTCTCAAAGGAAAGGTACAAGAAACTTTCTGTAATGAAGTCGTGCGTATGACCCATCAGTTGTCTTGCCTACTCCCTCGAGCTTAGGCTAGAGAATATGGTAACCTGTAAGTCCACAATAAATCTCTTCTACAACAACGCCTCAGCCAATCTTGCTTTACACATCATATATTTCAGGACACACCGCAAGTCACAGTCTCATTTTGAAATACGATTTGTTTGAATTGGCAAAATGTCTATATAAACATTCATTTTCTTCATAGTCGTTCTTGCTTTTTCCTATAATTTCCTCATTTACTATAAACTGTTCAGTTTCAGTCTAAAATCAAAGTTACCTCTCTCTCTCTTTCTCTGTTCTTCCAAAATAATTTGCATCTTTATAAGTGAAAAGCAGACAATACACCTTGTGACCTTCCTCCTCTCAAAATTAGAGAACCGCTGTCATTCATCGGGGTTTTGTATATTGTGAAAACTCTTCAACCACTAGAAGCACTTCAAAGAGTACATCTAACCTTTATACGTACAACAAGATGCTTCCTTCACCCCTTGGACGTACTCACTCCTTGAATATCTTCTGAGGAATACACTTGTAGATCCTCTCTGAAGATCCCACTTAACCTGCAGACGTAATCTTTCCTTGGACTTACCTGAAAGCTCCAAGATGACCTCCGTAGGTCTTAATAACGATTTGATGTCTTTGAAAGCTGATAAAGGAGTAATTCAAAGGGCTCAACTAACCTATGGAAGTACCCTGCGGGATGAAATAACACTTAAGTACTCTTTGAAGGGTCCTATTAACCCCTGGTTATCTTTTGAAGGGCCCTATTAGCCTTCGACTACCATTTGAAGGTCCTCACTATCCCTTGAAAACCCTTTAAAGGGCCTTATTAACCCTTACCATAGGGCTGACAGCATCAATTGGCTAACCCTTGAATGTACTTCGGAGGTCCCAATAACATCATAATGTTCTATGTCAGGAGTCTCACTAACTCTTTGACGTTCTCCCCAGGGTCCAATACTTTCCTGGTTGCCGTCCATGATCTTCGGGGTGTCATCCTTTTTGTCTGCCTTGAGTGTCCTAACGCTGCCGGAGACTCGGTTGATGGCAATGCCTGATACCATCAACGACCTGGAGGACGTATTTTCCAAGAAGAAAAAGTAAGACTTTGTTATATTTTATTTTAT